GGAAATTATCTTATTTAGCTCTTAGTTGTAACTGAGAGACTAACCTAAGAGGTCTTTTAAAAAGTTAATTTTATTGAGGTTAATTTGCATGAAGTTTTAAGTATACCCATTTTACATGTATATTTCAATTTTGAGAAATCTATACACCTGAGTAACCACCACCACAACCAAGAGATAGATCCCTTCCACCATCCCTAAAAGTTCTCTAGTACTTCTTTCAGTAAACCCCACACCCAGCCCTACGCAACCATGGACAGGCATTCTGCCACTATAGATTAGGTTTGCCTTCTTATATCAATGTACCAATCACTGGGGATTACTTCCCTTTATTCTCAAAATTCCAAGAGGAAACAGGTTCAGGGAGGTTTAACAGACTCAAATTCACACCGTGAGTGCATAGCAGAATTAGATTCAAACTGTAGTCTACTTCTTTCTAGAATCAGTGAGCCCTACATGGTCTATAGGGCTGAATTCACAATGATCCTTCCAAGTTGAAGAAATTATTTTTTAAGAACTCAATACAGAACTCTAAGTTTAATAGTCTAATACAGCTCATTAATAGTTGGACTTGGATAAACAGTGGGTTCATTTACATACACAGAAACCAGAAAGTCATTTATGAGAAGTATGATTTGGACTATTAGTTGTCATCCTCAACGCTTATTTCCAAGATTTGAAATCATATATAACTATATATTTTTAGGTATAACCTCCTTAAAGTTAGTGGTTCTCTTCTTGTAACAGATATGTTAAAAAATGTTTATATTATCAAAATTTAGGAGGGACTCAACTCTCCTCTTTTCTGTTTAATGGTTTGGATATGAAAAATGTATTTCAAATAACTTTTTTCTTTCAACAAAGCTTAACACAGGCAAGACATTTGCCAAAGTCAGTCATTAATGGTTAACTCTAAGTGTCACAAACACAGGGTACTGACAGTTGGTCTTCTATCTCTGAACGATCTTGACTCCATGTGAAAAGGAAAAAGATCTTTAGAACTTAAAAAAAAAAGACCCACGTTATCCATAAATGGGAACAATATATGACATACCCCCCCCAACAAGTAAATTAAAAAACTGATGTTGATGGCTTTTTTTAAACAGGAAATAACCAAATCTCTCAATACAACTTTATATTCAAGGGCGAAAATACCTGTTGGTTTTCCTACCCATAAATATGTGACAGCAAATAAAGAAAGAATGGCATAAGATTGAAAGAGAAATTATTTTCCTAAGTCTAGAGGCGACTCAACATGTGGCTTTGGTGTCTACATAATGATGATAATCCAAGAAAACACACTTTCTAAATAATGCCAAAGGGAAATATTAAATTAGCTTAATCATCCTCATATCTCTGTAAGGGCCAGAATATTCTTCAAAATATCTTTTTTTTAAAAAATGGAAGTGAACAAGAGATTAGGCAATTTGCTTAAAGTTTCAACAGAAGACATGGGAGGAGAGAGTGTTTAAATCAGATCCCTCATGGGCACCTAGGTGGCTCAGTCGACTGAGCATCTGCCTTCGGCTCAGGTCATGATCTCGGGGTCCTAGGATTGAGCCCCACGTCGGGCTCCCTGCTCAGCGGGGAGTTTGCTTCTTCCCCTCTCTCCCCTTCTGCCCTTCTCCCTGCTTGTACTCTCTCACATAAATAAAATCTTTTTAAAAAAAAAATAAATAAATCCGATCCCTCAGAGTGCACGTTCTTTTTACTTGCCAATGAGGAGAGCATCTGGGAGTCTAGCACAGCTTCAACAAAAAGATGTACTGATGACGCTATTGGTTAGGTGGAAAATGAGAGGAAAACATGTATATAAGGATGTTGAAACTGCCAGTGCAAATTAGTGGGAAATTTTTTAAAAATCCATACCCAATGCATCTCTTAAAGGCTTACCTTTGACTATTTTAGATCACTAGCATAACATTCATTAAAGACTCACAGTATATGAAGATTTGTAGTTCTACTACTCTGAAACAACCTCCAAGGTCCACAACAAAGTGACTTGTTACTTTGTTGCAGAAGGAATTATAGTCCCAAGGTTGAAATATGAGAGCAAGTCATATAACCAAGGACTATACCTAGCCAACCACTAAGTACTTTGTTATTCTTATTTCATCTTTAGAATAATCCTGCATGGTATTTGTCCCTATTTCACAGTTGTGAGAAATTATATTTTATGGTGGCACTAATGACAATGTTAAAATGTATGCTATAAAGTATGACAAGAGTCTACTACATTGTGTATTTCTAGCCTAATAAACTACTACTCAAGAGTCAAAATTTAAGACACTTCCCAAATTCTCAGTTCTTCCCTCTAGTGAATAAAATCCTACATTCACGTGATCATATTCTCCTTTGATAGTACTATCTCCCTAGCTGATGATTTACCTGTTACTTTAAAAAAGAGATAAATAAAAGTACACACAAGTCTAACACTTATCATCATTAAGCAAAAAAAAATCATCTTCTCAAATGGCTTAGATTACTGCAGGCACTGTTGCATGTTATCATGGACTCTTCTCAGTTTCCAGCAATATATACCATGACTGTCCCCTTACCAGATCAGAGTAATACAGGCAGTTTAGTCTAATAGAATGCATGAAGGATTGGGAAAGTGGTGGCTCAACTTTTCTATGCTTCAGTTTCCTCAGTGACCAAATAGTCTAGCAAATGAGTGGTACAAAGGAACTTCTCAAAGCTTCTGTGGGAGCCCAATAGCATTAACAGATGAAAATGTATCTAAAAGCTTAAATTTTAAATCAGTGTAAAGCACTGTAAATGTAATTGAAGAAACAAGTATTGAATATTTATCATAAGTAATGAACCACAGCTTTAATAGCTGTTCAAAAGATGCATTAGGTTGGGGCACCTGGGTGGTGCAGTCAGTTAAGCATCTAACTCTTGATTTCGGCCCAGGTCATGCATGATCTCAGGGTTGTGGGATTGAGCCATGGGTCGGGCTCTGCACTCAGCAGGGAGTCTGCTTGAAATTCTCTCTCTCTCTCTCTGTGCCCTTCGGGAACAAGTGAAAATAAAAAGGAACTGAATAGGTATAGAGTTTAGAGAGTCACAAGGAAAGGAACAGTTTGGTATCAAAGTCTGGTGAAGACACAATCAGATTTTGGGAATTGGACAAGCCAAACTTAGAAGAATCCCTTGTGTAACCTGCCCCTCCCCTATCAGCAGCAACCTAATCTTTCTTTTTTTCCCCAAAGATTTTTATTTATTTATTTATTTGTCACAGAGAGAGAGCACGCATGCACGCACAAGCAGGGGGAGCGGCAGGCAGAGGGAGAAGCAGGCTCCTTGCTGAGCATGGAGCCCGATGCAGGACTTGATCCCAGAACCCTGGGATCATGACCTGAGCCGAAGGCAGATGCTTAACCGACTGAGCCACCCAGGTGTCCCTCAGCAACCTCATCTTCTGACTTGCTTCTTCCCAAATTATATGTATAGTTTGGGAGAAGAAACAAAAAAGCTGGGGTAATTGCAATCACCTAACTGAAAGATGTAAAGGTATCCACTCTGAGTACTTACAAACACTTAGAAACATGGTGACAGGCGGTAGAGATGCCACTGGCCATGGAAATGACAATGTATTCTACAGTCCAGTCTTATTCAGCACACTTTTTCACTTTTTATATTTAAAGTAAAAGCATTTTTTTTGGTCCTCTATTTAATATTTAAGTCATTTTGCCTGAGAATGCAATGTCAGTATACTACCCTGTCTTCAGTCACTTCATCTTAGCGGAACAGAAAAAGTGCGATTGGTATTCAGAAGAGTGTGCTCAAATCATACGATCTCATTTTCCCATTATGGCTATCTGTTCTCAGTAGTCACCTCCCTCATCTATACTTTTTCATCCAGCTAAGTATTTGAGCCCTTACTTTGTGCCAGGAACTGTCTGGGCACTTGGGGTAACCATGTAAACAGGACCCACAGGATCTCCGTCCTTGCCCTTAAGAGGTAGAGAGTCAACAAACAAGTAAATAAATACAAAAATGACAAAATTGAGATCAGCGCTGAGAAAGATATTTTTAACAGAGAAAAGCTGGGGGTTACAGAACTTCTTTAAATAGAGTGGCCAGGGAAGGTTACTCTAGGAAGATTTAGGCAGAGACCTAGGCAGAGACCCCAGGGAAGAGGAGTCAGTTACACCCACATGCTGTGTGAGTATGTGCGCGTGCAACTGGGTGTACGGTACGTGGTAAGAAGAGCATCCCAGGAATAGAGATCAGAAAGTCCAAGTGGAGTGGAAAAGCGCAGGTATAAGGGATGGACAGGCGACCACGCTAGACCGCAAACGTGGGTAAGGACCCTAGGGTACAGGTAGTGCCTTATAGGCCACAGCAGGGAGTCTGGATTTTATCTAAATGCAACGGAAAGCCAAAAAATTACTTCAGACACGTGAATTACACGATCCGTTTTTGTTTTTTTTTTTTAAAGATCTCATTTTAGAGATGTGGGGAAAAGGTTTTAGGCGCAGAAAACCGTAGGTCAGACGTAATAATTATTCACTTCTCCCGGTCTCAAATTTTCCACCTGTAAAGCAAGTGGTGTGAGTTAGAAGCCATTTCCTTCCCGCTGCGAAGTGCCGGGGCAATGAGTTTCGAGAGCAAGGACCGTGTCAGATTGACCACGGAATTCCCCCTCATCCCCGCCGACGCCCAGCACGTAACCGGCACCCTGAAACTGTTGGTCAACGCAATGAATCAATGAATGGCCTGTCTCGACCGCGAGGGAGGCGCTCCGGCGCGGGACCAGGCCTCGGGGCCGCAAAAGAACGCGATACGCGGCGCAGGAGGCCGCGAGAGCCGACCGGAGAGGAAAGTGGGGGCCGGCTCCACCACAGTCAAGGCGCGATGAGGCGGAGGCCGGGACCTCGCAGATTGAGGGCAGGAGGAGCTGGACTCCGGGCCCGACACGGGGACCTAGGACAGCAGGCCGAAACGCGGGGCTAAGGAGGGGGTCTGGGCCCAGGCCGGAACGCCCAGTCACTCACCGCAGCCGTCGCCAGGCTGTGCATGTTGGGAGCGGCCGCCGCTCTTCTCCCACTGCCGGACGCGTCGGACCAGCGTCCCCGTTTCAGTGACTCTGCCGCCAAAGCTGAACAGCCGCGGCAGCCGCCATCCGCCTCCGGCTAGCTCCGCCCCCTTCGCAGCCCTATGACCTTTCACCCCTGACCCCGCCCACACACCTCTTCCCGCCTCCTAGCTCTCGGCGGAGGTAATAGTCCCAGAGTATGTCCTTTGCCCCTTAAGATTCTGGGCCAGAGGGACGCCCGCCACCTACTAGTCCCCGCATCCTCTGGCTTCGAGCAGGTATCCCCAGAGAGGGGCGTGAACTCTGACTCTCCTCCAGAGGCCAGTGAAGGGCGGGAAAAGCCAAGCGCTCTCGGAGGACAAGTAGTGCGCATGCCCGACTGGGCTGTATAGGAGGGAATGGATGGGAGGGCCACAATGCGCGAAGTGGAGAGTGCGCATGCGTACTACTTCACGGCGGGGGCGGGGCTGTCTCGGCCAGACTTCGCTCTGTGCTGGGGCGGGACGAAGGCTCAGGAGGGGCGGAGTTTGCAGGCCTGCGCGCACGCGCCTCGTCTGGTCGCGTCGAGTGTGCGTGCGTGCGTGCGTGTTTGCGTGTGGTCACAGTTCCCGCCATCAGCCGCTCTCCCTGACTAGGGGGAGTGAGCGGCCCCTCTTCTTCGTCCCCGGTGTCCCTTTCCTTCCTTACCCCCGGCTCCTCCCCCTCCGCGCGGACTCTGTGCTTCCGGCAGGCCAGTGCAGGGCTCCGGACCCGAAGGCACAGGTAAGGCGCGTCCGGCGGCGAGCTTCTCAACTGAGCCGTTTTCCCCAGGTCCCCCTCCCCCCCCCGCCCCTTGCGGTCCGCCCACTCGGTGTTCACTCTTCTGGAGTTCGCCCCGCTGCTGCTCAGCTCACCCCCACCCCTTCGACGCCCCCAGGGCCTCCCAGGTACTCCTCTTGGGTTTTCTCCCAGGCTTTCCCTCTCCTTTGACCTGGTCTTACTGTCACGCTCTTCTCCGCAACCCAAACCTGGCCCCTTTTCGCTGGGGGCTGTCGTCGTCCGCCACTCGCCCCTTAGCAAGGCCTGCTGTCTCTTCAGGTGACTTCCGTTGCCGCACACCCATCAGGCCTTGGACATTCACTCTTGACCGTTCTTCATCTTCCCTCTCCTAACCATTTCTCACTAAAACGCATGAATTGTATTTTTGTCGTGCATTTGGTTGCTCCCCATCTTCTAGCTATCAGATCAGGTTGTCAGGTTTACCTATTTCAGGTCATGATCCTTGAAATGATCATTGATGACAAAATCCTGTGTTCTGGAGAATGGTTCTGTAGTGGTTTTGTGGTAATCGTTTTCAAAATTTCGGCTCTATTTAAATGCCTTTAGTGGAGTAGGCAGTATCTGACAAGTCTCTAACTGGAAAAGATGCCTAAGACAGACTGTCAAGGAAGCAGTTGGATATACTGGGTTGGAGCTCAGAGGAGAGTTCTGGGCAGGCTGTATAAACTAGTGTATATATGTCATCTGCCATGCTCATAGTAACTGAAGCTATGCACGTGGATAAAATTGCCTAAGGAGAGTGTAGTGCTAGAAAAAACCGACCCAGGATGGAGCACGGAGGGATTCTTGTTGTTTAATAACTGTATAGAGGAGGGTAAGTCTTCTGTAAAAGAGATGAAAGAAGTAATCAGTAGTGTTGAATTCTGTTGAAAGGTAAAGTTGAATGAGGACTGTAAAGCCTGGTGACATCAAAGTAATCGATGACCCCAGGGAGAGATGTTTGATGGAGTGAAATGGAATATCTGGGTTCAGTGCTAGGGTCTTGTTCACCTTTTACTCTTCTGCCCTAAGCTTTAAATTCCACCTGTATATTGAAGACTTAAGAATTTTAATTTCCATCCTTTTCCCTTTACCAGTTGTCTGCTTGACATCTCCACTTGATTTTTTTCTTAGGAATTTCAAATATAATACATCTAAAACCAAAGTCTTAATTTTTCTCTCTGTATCCCAAATTCTTTGTCCTTCAGTATCTATTTCATTAAGTGGCATATTCATTTATTTATCCACTTATGTAAGCTAGAAACTTGAAATCCATTCTTGACTTCTCCTTCATCCCATGTATTTTTTTTTTTAAGATTTTATTTATTTATTTGACAGAGACAAAGACAGCGAGAGCAGGAACACAAGCAGGGGGAGTGGGAGAGGAGAAGCAGGCTTCCCGCTGAGCAGGGAGCCCGATGTGGGACTCGATCCCAGGACTCTGGGATCATGACCAGAGCCGAAGGCAGACACTTGACGATGAGCCACCAGGCGCCCATCCCATGTATTTTTAAGTTCTATTTATTCTATATCCAATACAGTTGATCCTTGGATAGCTCAAGGGTTAGGGGCACGGACCCCTTCCAGTTGAAAATCCACATATAACTTTTGACTCTTCTCAAATCTAACTACTAATAGCCTACTGTTGGCTGGAATACTAATAGCATAAATAGTTACTTAATACGTAATCTGTGCTATGTGTATTTTACGCTGTGTTCTTAGAATAAAGTAAGTTAGACAAAAGAAGTGTTATTAAGAAAATACTAAGAAAGAGAAAGTACATTTACAGTACTGTGTTTATTGAAAAAAATCATGTATATGTAATTCCATGCATTTCAAACCCATGTTGTTCAAGGGTCATCTGTACGTCTGAATGTATTTCTGTACATCTTCAGTATCACTTTTCGAGTTCAAGCCACAATCTTCTTTCACCTGGACTTAATGTCACTGGTCCCTATATTCTCATCTGTAAAATGGGAATAATAATCACCTTACTTGATTGTTATGAGGATTAAATGGCACACAGTAAATAGCCAGTGGGCTTAATTGTTATTGTAATTGTTATAAGCTGAATCACTTCAATATTCTTTTGTCTGCCCTATTTTCTTCATTCTTCTTCTTTTACTCTCCTCCCCAGACCCAAACAAACTATATCACTTCTCCATTCAACAGTAACATGTTATTTCTCTGCTTAAAACTCTTCAGTGGTGGGGCACCTGGGTGGCTCAGTCGTTAAGCATCTGCCTTCAGCTCAGGTCCTGATCCCAGGGTCTTGGGATTGGGCTCCCTGCTCAGCAGGGAGTCTGCTTCTCTCTCTCCCACTCGCCCTGCTTGTGTTCCCTCTCTCGCTGTCTCTCTCTGTCAAATAAATAAATAATCTCTAAAAAAAAAAAAAAAACCAAAAAACTCCTCAGGGGATTTCCCATCACTAAACTAATGTTTATTACATTTAGGGTAAAATTCAAAATACTTACTGTGGTCTACAGGATTCTACATAACTTGATTCTTCCCGGCTTCACTAGCTTCATCTTGCTCCAGCCTCCTCTTGCTCACTAAACTCTAGCTACACTGCTTTTCATTTCCTTAGTCACACCAAGTTATTTTCCAGCTACAGGGCCTTTGCACATGCTGACTGTTCAGCATGACCATCCCCAATTAACTCATTCTTTAATATTAGCTTAACCTTTGCCTCTGCTCTCTACCCCCAAATCTTAAATCAGATACTCTATTAAAATGTCTTGTCATGCCCTGTACTTTATATTTGTATCATTTTTTAGAACTTGTAATTATATATTGTGTGATTATTCAAAGCCTGACTCCTGCTAGAATATATGTTAGTAGCTATTTCATTTTTATTTTTCAAGAATTTGTTAAGTGAATAAGTAAACTGGAGCTTGTTTTAGGAACCATCATGTCTTTTGGAAGCACTAGTTTAAATCTTGTCATCTGATGACAAGCACCTTTTCACTTTTCAGACAAATTAAAGGACACAAAAGAAAAAAAACCCAAGAGTTTTCCGGCTATGGACGATTTTACTCATTCTTAGGTCATAAAAATCATTCAGATTTTAGACTCTGAATTGAAGATAAACTTTATCTAGGTCGATTTCTCATTTTTAGTCATATACTAATTTTATCTCTGTGCATTTGTTTTATGGATCTTTTTAGGAAAGAAAGCTCTTAGAAATCAGAGCAGTGGTTTATATATTTTAACAACAGGTTAAACTATGAGCATAGTGAGGATGAGGTTTTCAAAAATAAATGAAAATTCCACATTTAAGTTATTGTTGGTGGATGTGGAAAATATTAAAATTTAATAATTTGTGTATATAGAACAGGATTTGTGTTGAAAAATAGGAAATAAATATAGGGAGTATATGAGTGCCAAACACAGAAAGGCATTTGGATTTATTTTATGTGTAGTGGTGAGCTGTTAAAAATGTTGGGAGAACGTTTCAGTTAAGCAGGATGAAAACATTCTAGAGATATGCTGTACAACATGGTACCTATAGTTAACAATATCGTATTGTACACTTAAGGTTTTGTTAAGAGGACAGATCTCATACTAAGTATTTTTACCATAGTAAAATAAAATTTTAAAAAATGTTTGGGGATGAATTGTCTTCAGTAACAAGTATTTAGCACTTACTAAGTGCTTGTATTTTGTTGTAGTACAAAAGAAATAAGGTTCCTGCCCCGCCCCTCACTTAGGAGAAAGTAAGTAGACAGATAGTGCACACTTCACTTGGTAAGAGATAGAGTAGTTCTTTAGAAAGGGTATGGTAGGGTACAGGATTCATTGGATAGAAACATCCTGAGAGAATGGAGACTGGAAAGTGATTGTTGCTGCAAGTCATTGATGAGGATGCAGTGTGGTAGTGGTTAAAAACGTGGATGCTGGTGTTAGACTTAGTTTTGTCTCTTAATGAGTCTGTAACCATGGATAAATTAACTTAATCTCTCTAAGCCTCAGTTTTCTCATCTGTAAAATAAAGATAATAATCCCTGTCTTATAAGATTATTGGGAAAATTAAATGAAATAATGCATGCATGGTGCTTAACACTATGCTTAATATATAATTGCATAATAAACATTAGGTGGGAGTGATTGCAAAATGAGTTTCTGAATCAGGGTAGCAGCTATGAAGAGGCTAGGTTTTAGATGAATGAGAATGAGGGTAAAGCTGTTGCTAAATTTTTTTTTGCCTGAATGATGGAGGAAGAAAAATGTAGACAAGTCTGGAAGCCTCCAATAACGAGGGCATGGACTATATCATCTTCATGTTTGTATTCTTTCCACAGTGCTATCAAATTAAAGTAGCTCAGTCATTTTTTTACTAAGTGAACAAATGAGTTTGAAGTTGATATTATAGCATTCAAGAGGGCAGTGAATGATGTTTGGTTAGAACTTCAGGGAAAGCTGAGGCTTAGCCTAAATTTGAGAAACAAACCCATAAAGAAAAGTAAAAACCAAATTTACCTTTTGAAATTTGTATCAACACATCATGGAAATGGTATCTTAAGACTTAAGACATTATGTAACAATGTTTATAAAGTCAACAAAGAATATACTCTTTCACTGTCTTCTTAGTTTCAAAATATAGCAGGGATAAATACACCAAGAACACAAATGGATAAGGTACAGGCCTGAAGTCCCTCATTTTGCACAGCAGATATATCCCTAAAGTTTATTGATTGTGTGTATGTGTGTGTATCTTAAGCATTATATTTTAAATGTTTTCAGTAAGGTAGTTTGTAGTTTTTAAATAATCAAAAAGAGTTCATCTTTGTTGTATAAACGATTGCTTTTTTTTTTTTTTAATTTTGTAAATTGGATTCTTTTAAAAAGGCACACTTATATTTTCTTTAGCTGAGTTGATGGCTTCCGGAGAACTGGCATAGCTGCAAAATATGAGTAGTTCCCCAAGAAGAGTGCATTGCCTTTGGCACAAGGATCAGAATAAAGGTGAATTGTTATTACATAGGGTTTTTCAGTAAAAGTCACTGAAAAGTAAGTAATGTTTCTATATTGGATGTATGTTTCCAAGAGTATGCAAATTGGCGAGAATTAACAGTTTTCTTTCTTCTATTTTGTAGTAGTGGTTTTGTTTTAGCATGCTTGCTCTACCACAGAACACCCCCTAGAGAAGGATGTTTTCAGACCAATACCTAAAATAATGTGTATTTAAATAACTGTACAGGGTATGGAAACATTTTTGTCAGTATTATTGATTCAGCTTTCATAGAATGCTCAAAGTTGAACAGTGATTTTAATAATTGTGAAAAAAGTTAGGGAAAGAGGAATCTCTTTGGACCTACTTAAAGAATAATTTGATTTTGTTATACCTTGTCTTAATAATTTGCTTTGATAGGGAATTAGCATTATAGAGTTCAAATAAACCTTCTCACTGTCCTAGGTTCATAGAAAGTTTAACTGTTACCACTGGATCATGCTACATAATGAAAAAGAAACTTAGTTTTTTTTCTCTTAACAGAGTAGGGCAAACCTTGATAGTATAATGAATGTACAAAAGTAGATATAGTTAATTTATTTAGTGCAAGAGCCAGGGATGGACTAAATTAAGGGATTAAGAAAAAGTTTTGTTGGTTCTACAAATTTTATGTCCTGTACCTTTTAGGGTTTTTTTTTTTCCCTTGGAGGAAAGAAAGGTTGCTAGTAGAAATGGTTAAGGAAGTGTTCAATATCTGAAGTAAAATTTCATACACTTAAAACTTAGCATCAAGGGGCGCCTGGGTGGCTCAGGTGGTTAAGCAGTGGCCTTTGGCTCGGGTCATGATCTCAGGGTCCTGGGATCGAGCCCTGCATCAGGCTCCCTGCTGGGCGAGAAGCCTGGTTCTCCTTTCCTACTCCCCCAGCTTGTGTTCCCTCTCTCGCTGTCTCTATGTCAGATAAATAAATAAAATCTTTTAAAAAAAGAAACAACTTAGCATCAAAACGTTTGAGAATTTGGGGTGCCTGGGTGGCTCAGATGGTTAAGCGTCTGCCTTCAGCTCAGGTCATGATCCCAGGGCCCTGGGATCAAGCCCCACATTGGGCTCCCTGCTCGGCGGGGAGTCCTCTTCTTCCTCTCCCTCTATTGTTCCCCCTGCTTTTGCTCTCTGTCAAATAAATAAATAAAATCTTAAAAAATAATGTTTGAGAATTGTACAGAGAAATTGTATATAGAAACAGAAGTAACCAGGGATGCTTGGGTGGCTCAGTTGGTTAAGCATCTGCCTTCGGCTCAGGTCATGATCCCGTGATCCTGGGATCAAGTCCCGCATCAGGCTCTTTGCTCAGCAGGGAGCCTGCTTCTCTCTCTGCCTGCCACTGCCCTCTGCTTGTGCTTTCTCTCGCTCTAATAAAAAAAAAAAAACCAGAAGTAACCAATAAAATTTTTTTTTTTAAGATTTTATTTATTTGAGAGAGTGAGTGAGAGAGAGAAGGAGCAGGGGGAGGGTCAGAGGAAGAGGGAGAAGCAGACTCCCCGCTGAGCAGGGAGCCAGATGTGGAGCTCTATCCTGGGACTCTTGGATCATGACCTGAGCTGAAGGGAGACGCTTAATCTACTGAGCCACCCAGGAGCCCTAAAATTTTTTATTTCTCATGTGCTTTAGTGAACTTTGAAATCTTCACCTCCAATTTTGTTAAATAATGTAATTTTTTAAAAGATATGTTTTGTTCGAGGAATTTAAGGTGACGTTTACTTACCTTTGGTCTGTAAAGAAAACACTAAGATAACGGAGTTTTGTATTCTCTCTTTATTTGGTACCCTGACCCATAATGACATATAAGGAAAGGTGAGGGAATTTGGTAGAACTCTTAAAGTGGAGTTTCTTCATTGAGCAATGAATAATAGGAATCCCACTTTAAGCAAGTTTACTAATGTTTTTGTTTTAATGCATTCTGTAGCTACATATTCTTGTTCTTCCACAAATGATTTTTCTCATTGAATTTTTTTTAAAGATTTTATTTATTTATTTGACAGAGTGAGCAAAAGCAGGGGGAGCAGCAGAGGGAGAGGGAGAAGCAGGCTCCCTGCTGAGCAGGGAGCCCCATGTGGAGCTCTGTCCCAGGACTCTGGGATCATGACCTGAGCTGAAGGCAGACGCTTAACTGACTGAGCCACACAGGCACCCCTCTCTTACTGAATTTTGATAAGATAGGAGGACAACTTTGCATTTAGTAGAGAAATTCAGATGCACATAGAAAAGACTTAGATGCAGTGTTCAAAAGATGAGTTACATGTAGTATATGTAGTGATACTTTTATAAAGAGCTTAGTAAAATATAATCCTATATTTAAGAGGGATTTATGGTTTCAGTATCTGCTGTTGTATATTTTAACAGCAAATTGAATAGAATTGATGGTGCTGATTTCATTATCCTTGAATAATAAGTTTGTTTCTTGTGTGTCAGACACTGTCATAATGGGGACTCAGAGTTTGAAGAACATATTCCCTGTCTTCAAATAGCAAAGTGTAGATAGAGTCAGAGAAGTAAACAGTTTATGATACATTGTTATACTAGAAGTAGGACAGGGTAAGCAGGAGAATACAGAAGCTTGAAACAGTCTCAGTGTGGATATGGGGTGAGAGAAAAAGTGAAAGGTAGCTAGGAAAGCCTTCTTAAAGAAGATAATATCTCAGCTGAGCCTTGATTTTATAGCCAAGAGAAGAAATCAAGGGGGGATTTTGGGGGATGGGGAGAGTCCATACAAATTCTCCAGAGATAAACCACAGTGCATGCAAAGGTATAGTGGCATGAGAACATAAGGCTTTTGGGGGGAAATTATCTAGTTCAGATGGCTGGATTTGGAGGGCTTGTTGGGGATGGAGAAGTAATTAGGGTCTGGATCATGAAAGGTGTTTATGTCATGTTAATTAGTCTAGATTTTATTGTGAGGGCGGTGGTAGCTATTGAATGATATTAAGGAGGAGAATGATGTGATTTGATCTACAGTTCATTATAATAAAGATGTCTGAAAGGTGTATGGAGGTAGAATTGACGGGACTCTACCATGATTTTCCATTTCCAATCCAATACCAGTAATCATCAAGAGAAATCAAAGATAATTCTTATGTTTCTGGATGGACAACTGGGGTAGGAGAGGGGTCACATATTCTTGGCAGTGTTGAGAGCAGAGTGGAAAAAAGTCTAAGGACACATCCAGACAATGAAGCACCAAATTATTAATTGCAAAAAAAGTATATAAACACACATTGCTGGTCCAAAATTCTGTAGTTACTATTTTGAGCAGTGCCATGTTAATAGGTCTATAAACAGTAATGGACTCTGTTACTTTAATGGATTCATATACTTATCTAAATCTGGCCAAAGTAGGCATTCAAGAAATTTGATGAAATGAGTGAATAGTAATGGAGGACTTAAAATGCATAATACCTTTTAACTATTCAAAGTGTTTGCACATCTCTTTAAATTTTATTCCCAGTTATTTGATGCACAGTACCTAGAGGCCTCAAACTAGGGGGCCCCAGGCTGTATCCTGCCTATAGGTGGGTTTTGTTTGATTTGTAGCTTTTAAAAATAAATTTGAATTCATTGCCCAAAATTTAAAATGGGCAGTTTTACATAAATATTTAGAACTCATTTTCTTGAAAAAGTCAATGCTCTGGCAGTAACTGGGTTGACTAATTCTACATGGTAAAATTAGTTAGATTTCAGTAGTAGTTTTCATAGCTTGCCTGCTTAAGTCATGTCACCTGCCTGGCCCTTCTAGGCAGTGAGTTCGACCCCTATTAACAGCTTATTTATCGGAGGTCTTTGGAGAAAGGTGTTGCAGGCAAGGAATAAATTCAGAAAGTAGACACTAATTTCATTCATATTAAAGCTTTTGTCTGTTGGGTGCCTAATGTGTGCTTTTTCACTTAGTTATGCAACACTATGGCATTTGCTATTCCCGTTTACGGTTGAGAAAACTAATAGGGAAATTATAAATTAAGGACAGCTGAATCCTAATAGGTAGGTCTCCTGTGTTTTTCTTTTGTATGCTACTTTTTTTAAGCTTTTCTAGTTGTTTAGGCAGAGGCAAAGTATGATGATTTTTAATTTCTTAAATTATAAGCAAGAGCCTGTATTAGCAATGTTTTTTATTTTTTTCAAAGATTTTACTTATTTATTTGAGGAGGGGGAAAAGCAGGCTGTCCACTGAGCAGGGAGCCCAATGACAATGTGGGGGCTCAATCCCAGGTCCCTGGAATCACGACCTGAGCCAAAGGCAGACGTGCAACTAACTGAGCCACCCAGGCACCCCTGTATTAGCACTGTTTTTAGAGATTTGAAAAAAGTATAAATAAAATGTTTTAATAATTTTAGAGGATTGTGCGTATGTTTGTATATATGTATATAACACATAACGCTACTTTAACGTTCTTTGCTATTATAATTGTATTTACTTGCTGATATTTGGTAAGCTAGTTTGAAGGTCTTAGATATTGATATAAGTAATTTTTAAGTATTTAGAAGTTCACTCAGAAATTTGAATATTTGTCAAAGATAAAATTGGTAAAGATTCTTTCCTCTTTATGGTAATATTAAGCATAAGTGCTAGGTTGGTTCTTAGGAAGAGAGGTTTTTTCTGTTTGTTTTGCCTAAAGAATAAATTACTTTCTCAGTATAATTCTGGAAGTTAAATTAATTTGATTATTCTTACAATTTTTTTTATTCATTTAGTGTCTTCAGTACATGTGGATATGCTTACACTACTGACTGGTAGAAGGAGTTGTTTTGTAATATGATTTGATATTTTGGGAAGAACTCCATTCTAAGAAATGGAGTCAGCTGACTGAAAATATTTTTTAACTTACATTTGAAATTCAAGACCCTTTAGCATTCATGAAGGAAGATAAAAGTTGATTATACTGCTGTGGGCAATCACCTTAACAATGGAATCTTTAGTATTCCTGATTGACAGGCCTTTAGTGGCAGCAGTCTGTTATTAATGGTGCAAAATTGAAAATTTAAGCACTAATAGGGCTTAGATACTGGACATATGTATGGCAAAGAAGGGAACATGTAGAGAAGAAATAAAGGTGGGTAGATTTAGTCACTGACATTCGGTGACATTTAGTTGTCTTTCTTGTGCCTATCAGCTAATCAAGGCCTTTGAGGATGGTTAATAAAAAGTATATTGAAATAGAGAAAAGGACATAACATGGTTTATTAAATGCTCTTTCAAACTCTTAATCACTCTTAGGAAATTGTGACTTACTATTTTATTTTTCTTCCGTAGAATCTGTCAGGTGAAGGTGTATTTTTGCTTTTTAATTTGGCTAGAAGCAATTTATTTTTAAAGAAAGTATGTCTCCTCTGAAGATACACGGTCCTATCAGAATTCGAAGTATGCAGACTGGAATTACAAAATGGAAAGAGGGGTCCTTTGAAATTGTGGAAAAAGAGAATAAAGTCAGCCTAGTAGTTCACTACAACACTGGAGGAATTCCAAGGATATTTCAGGTATTACCATATTTTGATGTGGAATAGATCTTGAAATCACACCCTTTAGTGAATACCTTCCCTGTACCATAGTAAGTGTAATGGTAGCCCTCCTCCTAGATTAACATTTCTTATTTCTAGGACACTAATAGTTCTGTGTGCATATTTTATGAATTATTCAACAGTATCGTTGATGGTGTATAATAAAGAGCAGGAAGTAGTCACCATTATTGAAAAGAAAACTAGGAGGAAGCTGAGAAGAACTGAGTTTAGATACTTCTCTATCAAACTATTTTAAAAACCACATTAGGATAACTTTAGTTATTCCCTTTTTTTTCCTTATTATATATAATAGATTCATCACTGTGTAGTATTAGCTTTTAATAGCACTTAGTGGAGTCTTCTAAAACCTAATGCCTCCTTCCTAAATAATCCTGCCAAAGGTTGTGGTATGGGCCATTCAAGGATGATTATTCAAGGTCATTCTTACTGCTGTTTTCTTATAATTGTAAACTTTTGAAGAATTTCATTATTTTATCACTGCAAAAAAGTTAATTTTGTTTTTACATCTATACTCTTTATTCTGTGCAGCTAAGAGCTACTCATCTTTTTTTTTTTTAGAGCTACTCATCTTGATACGATTTGAATTTAAGAAAGCAATATATCTTTCTGCACTTTAAAATTCTGTATTTGTTAATTAGATAATACAAAAGTATAATATTCATTCTGAACTGAAGTACTCTCTTGAATAACAATTTATGAAATTTTGTGCTTGAGAACCCTAGAGCTGGGGTAAAATTTCCATTTCTGTTTGCTTTTGAACTGTGAAAATGCTTATAATTTTGTGTATCAAAGATACTCTTAAATAGTTTGGAGGTGGTGACATGGGTAATAGAAACAATAGTAGTTTCTGCCACATACATGTATCTACTAATTGCTCATCTCAGTGAAAGAAAGATTCCTTCTCAAATAGAGATTTGGTTTCTCAGTCTCAGCCCAAATTAGCAGTCGGTTAATATTTAAATATTTAAGAAAACATAGTTCTTTAGGAGCATAAGGATTCTGCCTCTAATTCCAGCCTCATCGCAGTTCTAGAGCAGTTTCCATTCAGCATTTATTTTGCTAACCACCTACAGATTACTGTGGTGAATACTGTACCAAGGGTTAATAATACAGAGCTGAATGAGATGCTTTTCTTCTCAAACTTGAGCGTAATCAGAAGCATTTTCAGATGTAAAAATATTTCAGAGACACTTGAAGTAATGCAAAGAAGAGAGTGGTTTGTGTCCTGAGCATTTAGAGGTTAAATAGGAGTTTGCCAAACAGTGGAGGTAGGGCAGAGGTGATTTCTATCCATGGACAAACACATGCAAGTGTGAATCAACCGTCAGGGAACCAGAAAATTATTTTAAAATAAACGGACAGTAGGGAGTGCGTGGCAGAAGTAGAGGCTGAAGAGCTAGCTAGGAACCAGATCTTGAAGTATCTTATTTGTCATACTAAGGAGCTTAGATTCTAAGGAGTCAAGAATCTCAAGTTCAGATTCATTTAGGGGCTAGGCAGATGACTTTATTTCAAGAGATAGTGGAAGAATAAGGGCATATAGGAGGTTATTGTGGGAATTTAGATGAAGAATAAAAGTCCTAATCAAAGGATAAGACAGTAGGAAGAAACAAGAGGAAGAAAGAATAGATTTGAAGAGATTTCAAGATGACCTGACTCATTAGATTTAGGGGGGTGAGAAAGAAAAGACTCAGAGATACCCAAGTTTCTGAGTGGATGGCAGTGCCTTTCATGTCTTGGTAGGGAGCAGAGGGAAAGAATTGGGGTGGGAGGATTAAGAGAAATTAGTTGTTTGAGGTGTCAGGCATTCAGATGTTGGTATCTAATAGGTGGTAGGTAAACAGGACTGGAACTCCCAACAGAGAGGTCTGGACTTAGAGGAAAGATGGAAGGCCTCACCATATGGTAGTTAATAAAATTATGGGGTTGATAGGATTTTCAGTTGTTGAAGACCTCAAGTTCAAGATTATTCGCTCATCTTGTTTATGAACAAACTTTCCCCTTATGTATTTAACTTTCATTTTTTAAAAAGTGGGGTACTGACTGAAATAGTGGTTTTATGTGATCTCTTTTCTTTTGCATGTTAAGCTCCTTGTTTACATATTTTGGAGTTAAACCCTCTGAAACTATTGTGTTTTACAGAATTTTTACTTAAGGACATGAATTTAAGACCTACTTTGAATATATATATATACATATATATATCATTTAAAATTTGAATATAAGTTAAGTCTGATAAAATTATATTTTCATTCTTATTTAAAAATTGACAAAGATCAATTCTAGTTTAAAAAATATAAAATGCTATTCTTTCTTAATGTTTTTCAAAGGATATGTCTTCAGCAAAAGGCAGCTTTTGAAATCTTCATATATGCCTGCTGAGGGAGCACATTAGAGAATAAAGATGCCTAGTTGGCAAGAATTATTTAGGTAGTAAACTGTAAGATTTAATTTGGTCTTGGAAAAATTTCAGCCAAGAGAAAATAAAAGTTATCACTTCATGATACATACCCAGAATCTGGAAGAGTATAAGACAAATTATTGAACCAGTTCTGGGGAATGGAAGAAGTAAGCTAAAAGAGTTTCCAGAGTGCCCATGATCTTCATGACTGAATGAAAGTTAAATGAGCCTGCTTTTAGACAGTTAAAAAAAGAAAGAAAGATGGGGGTGCCTGCTGGCTTAGTGGGTAGAGCATCAGACTCTTGATCTCAAGGCTGTAAGAACCCCATACTGGGAGTAGAGATTACTTAAAAGTAGTCTTTAAAAATATATATATGTGTGTGTGTGTATATATATGTGTGTGTGTGTGTGTGTATAAAGAAAAAGATGCTTTCTTACATTGATAAAGGTTTATTTTTATTTGTTTTTGAGAGGTGGAATTCTTTTGCAGATTATAGTTTGGATTAATAAATCATTTGAAATTACAGCTACCTAAACCAATTGCCAGATATTTTACAGGCTTAAAAAAGGGGGGCGGGGGAGAAAAAGAAAGCCTCTAGCGCAATATGGCTTTCTAAACTAGTGCTAGTGTAACCATCTAGGCTCTGTAAATTGTTAACTCATTAGTTTTTATAGCTTTATAACTGTACCTGAAAATATGCAATTCCCTACCATAAAATCAGTAGTGCTAGGATTACTTTGTAAAATCAGTTTTAATAGTAGGTGTTTGCTTTTCCTAAAAGTGAAATCTTTGATTTAAGTGTATCAAGAAATGGGAACTCTTTTTTGGTTGGGGGGAAAAACCCTAAATTAATGCAGGAAAGACTAAGAAATGTAATTTAGAAAGTATAACTTACTTTATGATACTTTGTTATCGTACATTTTTAACAGTAACATAATTTTCCTTTTGTATTAAATAGCTAAGTCATAACATTAAAAATGTGGTGCTTCGACCCAGTGGAGCGAAACAAAGCCGCCTAATGTTAACTCTACAGGATAACAGCTTCTTGTCTATTGACAAAGTACCAAGTAAGGATGCAGAGGAAATGAGGTTGTTTCTAGATGCAGTCCATCAAAACAGACTTCATGCAGGTGAGCACTAATCTTCCCAGGGTTTGCCATTAACAGTTATAAAAGAATATTACTAGATAGTAGATCTGTATCACTGATGAATATTGATAGAAAAATACCCAACAAAATACTGGCAGTGAATTCAACAGTACATTAAAAGGATTATATACCGGGGCACCTGCATGGCTCAGTCAGTTAAGCATCCCACTGTTGGTTTTGGCTCAAGTCATGATCTCAGAGTCATGGGATTGAGCCCCACCCCCACATCAGGCTTGGCATTCAGCATGAATCTGTTTGTCCCTCTGCCCTCCCCCCCTCACATGCACACACTCCCTCTCAAATAAATAAATAAAATCTTAAAAAAAGGATTATATACTATGACCAAGTGGGATTTATTTCTGGAATGCAAGGATGGTTCGAGATATGAAAAATCAGTGTGATGCACCAAATGAGAGAATGAAGGACAAAAGCCATGTGATCCTCTTCATGCAGAAAAAGCATTTGATAAAATTCAAAACCCTTTCACGATAAAAACACTCAACAAACTAGGAATAGAAGGAAACTACCTTAACCTAATAAAGGCCATATATGAAAAGCCCACAGCTATACTCAACAATGAAAAGTGGAAAGATTTTCCTTTAAGATAAGGAACAAAGCAAGGATGCCCTCTCCTACTATCCAACATAATACTAGAAGTCCTAGCCAGGGCACTTGGGCAAGAAATAGAAATGAAGTTCATCCAAATTAGAGAGGAAGAAGTAGGGGCCCCTGGTTGGCTCAGTCTGGAAAGCATGTGACCCTTGATCTTTGGGTCATGAGTTCAAGCCCCACATTGGGCGTAGAAGGGGGAGAGTAAAATTATCTCTGTTCTCTGATGATATGATCCTATATGTAGAAAACCCTAAAGATTCCACAAAAGAATATGGCTAGCAGAGGAGGAGGATTTAAATTATAATTGGAAAGAGTTACATTGTTATGTAAATCTTAGATACTTGTCTTTCTCTGTATGAGACTTACTCCGTGGTTTTACTCTGGCTGTGAAGACAGCAAGTACTATAGAAAATCATATACGGTATTATCAGATTCCCCTGCCCCTTCTTAATACCCTTTCATTTAAAATGCTTTGATTTGTTTAAATGTTTTAATAGACCTTTTCTTAAGAAATAATCTAGTGCTGGGGCGCCTGGGTGGCTCAGTTGTTAAGCATCTGCCTTCGGCTCAGGTCATGATCCCAGGGTCCTGGGATCGAGTCTCGCATCGGGCTCCCTGCTCAGCGGGAAGCCTGCTTCTCCCTCTCCCACTCCGCCTGCTTGTGTTCCCTCTCTCGCTGTGTCTCTCTCTCAAATAAAGAAATAAAATCTTTAAAAAAAAAAGAAATAATCTAGTGCTTAAAATGAGTTTTCCACTATTACTGTTAGTCTCCAGTTCTATTAACATCAAAACTTTATTGCTAATATTTTAGAGTTGACAGACTTTTAATTGAGCTTTTTAACTTAAATATAATAAAAATATTAGAAAATGATGTAGCAGTGCTACTTTGCTTGTATTATTATTTATTTGATACACTATTTTCCTTGTAAAATTAAAAAAAATTATGGTTGTTTGCTATTTAATACCAACTCATGTGTTACATGTTTCCTTGGTATCCATTGTCAGTGTTCATGCCATAGACACACTGACTTTTCTGTAGTGTTAATTACCAGATATTTATATAGGAGAATTTCTAGCATTTTCATTTTGCATTTAAAATTTTATTTTTCTGTTACATCTTCCCAAATTTGTGCATGTTATTTCATTTTTTGCTTGAGACTCTAGCTCTGAATTTTAATTACTATTTATATCAGGTATACTTTTCAGAAAGAATTCGTTTATAAGCACTTTCATTTTTTTATGCTTCTATTTTTTTCAGTATTCTATAACGATGATTAAGTCTCTTAATTAAAGTAAATGACTTGGGGTTTATTTATTTTCCCCCCACCAGCCATGAAACCTTCTCAGGGGTCTGGTAGTTTTGGAGCTATTCTGGGCAGCAGGACTTCACAGAAGGAAACCAACAGGCAGCTTTCTTACTCAGACAATCAGGTATGTTCATTTGAATCTTTCTAGCTTTTAAGAAAAGTTATCAACTATTATTATGAAAATCTTTTCAAAATTTATCACATACTAACCCTTCTTACATGTAGTTTTACTAAACACATAACTTTTGCTCTATGTCTCATGGTCATCATTATGAACCACAGTAAAGTGTAGTTTTTAAAAAGCATAGTTTTGGAGTTAGATGTGGGTTTGAGATTTGGTGCTGCTACTTAGTAGTTGTGGGTCATTGAAGAAGTTCCTTAAGTATCCTGAGCCTTACTCAGGATTATAAAATTGAAGCAGCAGTAATATTTTAAGGGTTGCTGAGAGATAATGCATGTAAAAGTGCTTATTAGCCTACAGTACCTTATACTAACAATGCTATAAATGTTTGCTACTATTATTTCTGTGATGCCCTTTAGGTCTCTTGTGCATTATGAACTTTACCCCTATACTATATGATACCAGACTGTTTTGTTGAGGTCTTCTGTTTGCTTTTTTTTTTTTTTTTTTTAAGATTTTATTTTTTTATTTGAGAGAGAGCACATGAGAGGGGGGAGGGTCAGAGGGAGAAGCAGACTCCCCGCCGAGCAGGGAGCCCAATGCGGGACTCCATCCAGGGACTCCATCCAGGGACTCCAGGATCATGACCTGAGCCGAAGGCAGTCGCTTAACCAACTGAGCCACCCAGGCGCCCTCTGTTTGCTTTTTAAATAGTTTCTCTCTCATAAATATTCAGACAGCCGTGAGACTTGCTTTGTACTATTGCAAGTTAGCAGTCCTATGTCTTTGAAAATTTATTCTGTAAAGAGAAACTAGGCATAAAGTAAGAAGAACTTGGAAACTATTCTCTAAGTAAATTGATGAGTTTTACTGGCTGTGCAGAGAGGTGATTATTTAGTCCATTTGCTGTGCAGTGAATAACATTTTATTTTTGTTAGTTTTTTTAATAGGTTCTGAGGCTTTTTTTTTACATTTTAATTGAGGTATAATTGACATGCTCTAAATTGTACATATTTGAAGTATACAATTTGATACATTTTGAGTTATGTGTATACCTGTAAAATCATCACCATAATCAACCAAGTGAACATAACCATAACCCTTAAAAAGTTTCCTCATCCCTCTTTGTAATCCTTCCTTCCTGCCTTCTCTCTGTTCCCTATCCCTAAGCCACAACTGGTTTGCTTTCTGTCACTACAGATTAGTTTGCATTTTCTAGAGTTTCATGTAAATAGAATCAGTGTGTAATTTTTTTGTCTAGCTTTTTCACTCAGTGTAATTACTTTGAGATTCATCTATGGGTAGAAATTTAAACTATTAGAATACTTAAATATATAGATGTTATATATAACAAGCAAATATTTATACTCTCACAAGTAACGATTCTTCTCAGGGGGATTGTAAAATCAATTTTATGGGTCATAACTGGGATTAAATAAAAAAGGAACAAAATAAATGAGGTATTGTACATAGTAAGGATAAGTATTGATTTCTGAAACTTTTGGTTATTTATATGTAATAGTTGTGATTTAAAATACTTCTAAGTAGAGGTCATGGTCAAAAAGGTTAAAAATGCAAAACAGTGTACATATAGTATTCTACCACTTGTATAACAAAAAGGATTTGCTTTAAATTTACGTAAAGAAGAATACTTATAAGGGACGAGAATGGGAATGAAAGAATCGGGTATATGGCAGTGGGTGATAATGAGACATCTCAGGAAATGACCTTGATAATAGTATTTTGATTTTTGAATCTTGAGAATGTATCACCCATTTGAAAGTAAATTCTAACTTTTTAAAACTGTGCATTCAGTTGATCTCAGAGATTGTTTCTTTCCTATGCTAACATTGTACATAATTCTGTAGAGAGAAAGAAATTGGAAATTTCTTCAGTAGACAAATCACATAGCTTTTAATCTAGTTGTAAAATGTACTGGCAGAATGCTGGTCAAAAGCACTATTTCCCAATAATGTTTAATTTGCTGTATTTACTCCGAATGTTCTTGCTGTGTCTTTAAGGTAGACTCTTTGATTCATCTTCTGCCAGTGGACTCTCTCTCACTTTCATTCTCCCCATCAAAAGTCATATGAGGTATTTGTTTGTGACTTGGCATTTAAGTCGTGGCAACCAAATGTCATTGTTGCTCCTGTTTCTCACATTTATGTCACTTTATCATAATCATAATTGGATTGTTTTTCTCTGAAGATTTATTTTCATCCTTATCACTAGAATCACATCTTGTGTACCTGAGTCTTTTCTTAAAAAGTCAGGTATTCAAAGCAAATTCCTTTCTGCCTCTAGTCATGTTGTGGAAATTTTAAATTTATAGGAGTGCTAGAAGAAAATAAGTGTCAAGTTCAATTTCTGATACAGATTGTACATTACAGTCAGCTAGAGTGCTTTAAAAAAAACTGATGAATGGGCTTCACCCCAGACCACTTAGGCTAGAATGTCTGGAAATGGGTTTCCAGTTGTATTTTTTAAAATTGATTCCACATGAGAATCAATGATCTAAAAGCATGCCAATTAATTTGAATATTTAGCTATGTTAAACTTTACTCTTACAGGCATCTTCAAAAAGAGGAAGTTTGGAAACTAAAGATGATATTCCATTTCGAAAAGTTCTTGGTAATCCAGGTAGAGGGTCAATTAAGACTGCAACAGGAAGTGGACTACCTGTCACCCGGACAATTCCTTCTTTGACATCTACATCAACCCCTCTTAGATCAGGGTTATTAGAAAATAGGTATGGAAGACTTATTTTTTTTTTCTTAGTCATTAGCTGTGCTTGTTTATAAATGTCTTTTTGGCTTTTTAAAAAGACAAATACTTTGAGAAAAAGGAGATTGTCCAGTTAGTAAAATATGTTAGAAGAAAGTATACATTTTATAAAAAGTATAAATTTTTAGTAGATAATTAGTATTGTTTTTTTTATGATTTATGTCAGTGACACATATGGAGCATGCAGATATACAGTAATTTTTTTTTTAAGGATTTTATTTATTCACTTGAGAGAGAGAGCACAAGCAGGTGGAGAGGCAGAGGGAGAGGGAGAAGCAGACTCCCCGCTGAGCTGGGAGCCTGACATGGGGCTCCATCCCAGGACCTGGAGATCACCACCTGAGCCGAAGGCAGACACTTAACCATCTGAGCCACCCAGGCGTCCCAGATATACAGTATATTAATCAAAACGTGGTGTAGAGAACTAGGCAGCAGTAGTCACAGTTCTGTCCTTGAATATGTTGGTTTATACTTCTTAATGATATGAATTATGACTTTTTTAAATAACTTTTTTTTTCTTTGTCCTCTACAGGACTGAAAAGAGGAAAAGAATGTTATCTGGCTCAGAGTTGAGTGAAGATTACCCTAAGGAAAATGATTCATCATCGTAAGTTGCTTTAAGAACCCTTATGGCACTAGGGGCACCTAGGTGGCTCAGTCGGTTAAGTGTCTGCCTTTAGCTCAGGTTGTGATCTCAGGGTCCTGGGATCGAACCCCAAGTCAGGCTCCTTGCTCAGCAGGGAGTTTGCTTCTCCCTCTTTCTCTGCCCTCCCTTCCCCGCCGCCCCTCGCCCATGCTCTTTCTCTTTCTCAAATAAAATAAAATCCTTAATAAAAAAAAGAACCCTTATGGCAGTAGGTCAATGTTTCTCATATTGGTAATTACACTCACTGTGGAAAATTGGTGGAGGGCAGGGATTCAATTTATGAGAATTCGAAAGACAGAATTTAAAGTATTTTGGAGGCACCTGGGTGGCTCAGTTGGTTAAGTGTCTGCCTTCAGCTTGGGTCATGATCTTGGGGTCCTGGGATTGAGCCCTGCGTTGGGCTCCCTGACTGGCAGGGAGTCTGCTGCTTCTCCCTCTCCGTCTGCCCCTCCACCCCACTTGTGCTCGCTCACGCTCTCTCTCTCTCTCAAATAAATAAATAAAATTAAAAAAAAAAAAGAATTTGAAGTATTTTGGTGATGGTGGATTATAGGCTCCATAGAGAGTATTTGGCCATTACTGTTGCATTGATCATTTCATTGCCCTTCTCCCATCCTAGCTTTTTTTAATCTGCAATACTTAGAGGAAAAATAGAATTGAATAACTCTAAGCAGATGTTTCCTTTTCTTTTTTAATTTTTTTATTTTTTTAAAGGTTTATTTATTTTAGAGAGAGAATGTGCATGAATGGGGGGAGGGGCAGAGGAAGAGAGAGAGAGAGGGGAAGCAGATTCACCACTGAGCAGAGAGCCCCATGTGGGGCTCAATCTCACGACCCTGAGATCATGACCTGAGCCTAAACCAAGAGTCGGATGCTTAACTGACTGAGCCAGCCAGGCACCCCTAAGCAGATGTTTCTTGTTGGCGGGTCTTTTGTTGTGAATTCTTTCCTTTCCTTATCTGTGATTTTTTTTTTTTTTTTTTACCTTCTTCATGTGAAAAGTAGCCTAAGTGTGAAAGAATTTGAACCCAGGGTGCCTGGGTGGCTCAGTCGGTTAAGGATCCAACTCTTGATTTCAGCTCAGGTCATGATCCCAGGGTTGTGAAATTGAGCCCCACATCAGGCTCCACACCCAGTTTGGAGCCTGCTTAAGATTCTTTCTCTTACCACCCCCAACCCCCCCCACAGGTGAGCATGCTCTTTCTTAAAAAAAGGGGGGAGGGGTTGTGAACCCGACACAGTTTCTAGGCAAGGAACATCAATCTTTTATAGGTATTTTCTGGTTGAGCAAAAGAGGATAGACCTACAGTAGGACAGTCATCAGCTCACAATCTCTTCCTCATCATGGGAGGGTTTTATTTTGTTGTTTTTTTTTTAATTGTTTGGGAGAGAATACTTGTTACACTGTTATGAAATACCTCAGTTAATAACTTTTTTTTTAAGTTTTTATTTAATTTCCAGTCAACATACAGTGTGATACTTAGTTTCAGGTGTACAATTTAGTGATTCAGCACTTACATACAACACCCACTACTCATCACAACAAATGTACTCCTTAATCCCCATCACCTTTTTAACCCATTCTCCCACCCACCTCTCCTCTTGTAACTATCAGTTTGTTCTCTGTAGTTAAGAGTCTGTTTTTTGGTTTTCCTCTCTCTTTTCCCTCTAGATCATTTGTTTCTTAAATTCCACACATGAGTAAAATTATACGGTATTTGTCTTTCTCTGACTGACTGACTTTGCTTAGCATAATACTCTCTGGCTCTATCTACATCATTGCAAATGGTCAATTAATACCTTAACAGAAATCAGTTGATAGTCAATTAACTGGTATTCTAGGTCAAGGGTCACCAGGAGGGAGTTGGGAAAAAGCTAAAGAAACTTTATGTATTTATGGGGATTTTTTTTTTCTGTTGCTGTAACAGATGTAAAACTGAGTAGATGATAGGACTGGTGTGACATGTGAAACTACAATCACCATGGACTCAGATTCCTTCTATCTTATTGATCTATAATTCTTAATAAGTAGCTTCCATTTTGTGAACCAAGATAGCTGCTTCAGCCTCCACTCTCATTTCTGCATGCCTACTGGTGGGAATGGGGAAAGGAACAAAGGCAGGGCATACTGCTTTCCTTTAGGCTGGAAATTGTACACACCACTTTAGTGCACATTGGCCAGAATTTGGTCATATGGTTATATCAGAAATATATGAGAAACTCTGGGAAATATACCTACCCTAGCCAAATTCTGTTATGGTGGAAGGGTACAGAGGTTATTTGGAAACAACTTAACAGTCTGCTGTAGTTTACCCCTCTAGCCATAGAAATATATTTATCATTCTTCCCTTACGTTTAGTCATTGTATCCAGTTCAGAGTCTAGGATCTCTGGGTGATGTGCAGTTCTTTCCATAAGGTCTAAGTGTGCCTTAGACCATGTACCTTATGGTCTGACACCTAAAAAAACTAAAAGGCAAGTTCATCTTTATTCCCCACTCCCATCTTTATACATATGTCATTATACATTGCTGGCTTAGGCGTAGGATAACCACAGTAAAAATTTCCATTTAGAAAAGACAAGAATAGGAAACTTAAGGAGTTGCTGTTCTATAGCAGCAATGAAATCTTGGTAGGCAGAGGTTGTGAAGACAGTGAAGGCAGTAGAGGAAGTTCTTGGTTAGCCCTTGTAGCAGTCTGTGTTCTTTCCTCCAGGAGAAACTCCCTGCCTCATTGTATTTCATTTGACTCCTGACTTTGTCTTCTGGTAGATTTCTTTTGTCTATTATCTTTCAAGGCCATAGCTGAAGTGGGTTTTGAAGACTGTGTTCTTCCTTGGGGCCATGCAGCTTTTGTAGCCTGCTTCATGCTGATCAAGTTCTGGGAGTATAGAAGTGTCCAGAAATCCAGGAGTTTTAGAAATCTAGAAGTTTCTTTAAAGGTATAACAAACAGGGTTTTATAGGCTTGAGAAAGAATTGGGGCCAGTATTTTTGTTGTTTGGATTTTTTGTTTTAATCTCTTAAGTTTTGAAATAATTTCAGATTTACAGAAAAGTTGCAAAGACAGTATAGAATTTTGCTGTATACCCTTCACCCAGTTTCCCTTAATATTAACATTGAGTTGTTTTTTCACAAACTACTTCCTCAGTTACCTCCTGTCATTGCCTCAGTTTGAGAATCAGAAGAAACTGGATTTTTTTTGTCCTATATAGACTCAGATTACCAGACAATTTCAATTCTAGGCCATTGGCACAGAGGGCTGTATTCCTTTTCATCCTTGATTGTAAGGTGGCTAGTCCTTGCCCAAATTTATCTGTCTTGAATAGGACCTTGCTGAAACACAGACCAGTGTTCTTATTGTCTCAATCTTTTCCTTTAGAGCTTTAGGTTCAGTAAGTATGCAGTCCGCTTCCCAAGACTACAGATAGCAGGGTTTGGTTTTTTTTTTAATATTTGAGAGAGAGCGCGCGCTCGCATCCATGCATGTGAGTTGTGGGAGGGGCAGAGGGAGAGAGAGAATCTCAAGCAGACTCCCCCCTGAGTGCAGAGCCTGACACGGGCCTTGATCTCACAACCCTGAGATCATGACCTAAGCCGAAACCAAGAGTCGGACGCTCAACCGACTGAGCCACCCAGGTGCCCTTACAGATAACAGTTTTATAAATATTTTGCTGTGATATAACAGTCCTCACCAACTTTCCAATCTGTAATATTTATGTCCTTACTCTCCACCTTCCTACTATAGCTAGTGCTATATATTTTAGGTTTGTTATGGTAGCATCCCACTTCTAGTAACAAAATTTGTGGATTCAGGGTCTAGTTGTAGGAAACAAAAGTCATTTATCTAGTTAAAACACAAATGTGGGGCGCCTGGGTGGCTCAATTGGTTAAGCGACTGCCTTCGGCTCAGGTCATGATCCTGGAGTCCCTGGATCGAGTCCCACATCGGTCTCCCTGCTCGGCAGGGAGTCTGCTTCTCCCTCTGACCCTCCCCCCTCTCATGTGTTCTCTCTCATTCTCTCTCTCTCAAATAAATAAATAAAATCTTTAAAAAAAACACAAATGTGTTTGCCTTTAGAGAGTATGAAATGACTTACAGAATCATGAGGAAAGCTGAAAAGATAGGCTATACGTTAGGCTTGCAGAATGATTTTGAGAGCTATGCCCCAGATCAGGTCACCAGAGATGCTCCTGGCTATCATCAAAGCTAATAGCTGAATTGGAAATTATCATCTCTGGAACCATGCTGCCACTACCAAGATTAGAAATCTCTACGGAAAAACTGGACACCTCCAAAATGATTTTGCCATCACAAGGAACAGAACACATGACCTCTGCCTTAATTCCATTTTGCAGATATTACACAACCATGTGTAATTTTTTTTTTTTTAAGATTTTATTATTTATTTGACAGAGAGAGAGTGAGAGCAGGAACACAAGCAGGGGGAGTGGGAGAGGGAGAAGCAGGCTCCCCGCTGAGCAGGGAGCCCGATGCGGGACTCGATCCCAGGATCCTGGGATCATGACCTGAGCCGAAGGCAGATGCTTAACGAATGAGCCACCCAGATGCTCAGTCGCTCACTGGAAGACGTTTTAGAAAAGAATTACAACTACATGATTTTTTACGGCCATACCACCCTGAACGCGCCTGATCTCGTCTGTAATTATCTTAATTCATATTTTGAACACTAGGAAATGGAGTTTTTTAGCTTTCTGGATTTTGTAGGACAGATACACTAAAAGGTGGTTGTAATAGACTGTTGCATGCCAGTTTACCATATTCACCACACTTTGGGATCATCCCACTTTTTCCACTTAGAATTCTGTCTGGTGAGCCCTAAATTTCTGATCTTTGTTCTGGGCTAATAACACTTTTTACAATATCACAGATTTTTTGAAGTTCGAGTTTCCTAAAAGACTCTAGATTAAGATACGTGTACAAGTGACTTGTTAAGACAGTGCTCATAGGAGAGATCAAAGTGAGGAAAGTAGGACAGGGAAGGAGAGGAAGCCAAAGAAGGGTGTGATCTCTGTGGGAGAGTAGGCTTCATCTTGATCCAGCAGGGGGCACTGGGCCTGTTCCAATTTGAAGTAAGGAAGATGGGCTTTCATGTTCTCATACTGTACAGTCTTTGGTTCTGTGGCTCTGCCCAAATGGGCAAAATATTTTAAGTATCCCAAAGGCAGTCCTCTGAAGAAGAACCGCAGGTGCTGGCTGTTGAAAACACCCAGTCTGGAGGTGTGAAAAGTATAAAAAGGGATCTGAAGGGTTCTGGTGGAGCATAACTATTAAGTTCATTCCATGTTATCACAGATTCTTCACATTGATGCTGCCCAATTTCTGGATGAAGATCTTATAAAAGGAGGATTAGAGGGATGAGCTGTAGTCCTTTTTGTCCTATTGGTATAGATAGCCTTGAGGCTATAACTGATATTATTATCTTTTTCTTCTACCATCCATTTTAGATTTGCTGCATTCTCCACTAATACTTCTTCTGGTCTTGGTGATTTGCCTAGTGATATGACTAAGATCTTCATCGCTGTGGGGATGAGCCCCTGGTCACTATGTGCTTGTGCAGGCCATGGTTGCTAAAATTGCCCATTTGTAGTTAAAACTGAACATGACAACACTAAGAGATTCCCTAGTAAGTCCCCATTATTCCATATTCCTCCTACCCTCATTATCTACCATCAACAGCACCTCCTTATCATAATCAAGTCAGTTACCCCTGCTAGTATGGCAGTTCCTTTCTTTGCCTGATGCTCTGCCAACATGAGGACCCCAAAATGAGTAGCGGCCATAGCTTTAGATTAAATGGGACTCTTACTGTCCCCAGGGGTGAAAAAAAGGTTCCCCTCTGAGAACCAGGACCTGATTGTTTAATGTCGCTTTAGTGGAATTCTCTGGTGAGCAGTAATATGTGAAAAAGATCCTCACCCTTTGTACACATTTCCATATGGCTATTCATATACTTCTTCCATAAATCATTTCTCCCTGATCTTCCAGGCTTGCTACTTGCAGGCCCCTGACTATCCATGCAAACAGTTTGCCACTATCCAGGTATCCATGGCCCACTCTTTTCCTCGCACAAAGTGGATAATGAAGTGCACCTCTCAAACTGCATAGCAGAGGATTTCCTTTCACCACTCTCTTTTTGGGCAGTCCCATAATGGGTCTATAGTGCAACAGCAGTTCATTTTCATCCTCTAGCAAGATACCAAGATGATGTATCCATGAATCAGGCTAGGTTTTTCTTCCTCTTTCAGTTGGTTATAGGGAGTACTCATAAAGCCTGTTCTTGTTACTTATTCCTGCTTACTTAGAACTCATCCCAGATATACCACTTCCATTTTATGATGCATTACTGCTGTAACTTCCTGGTCTTACAACTCTTAGGAGTATGATAGCACCCAGTTCATGATAGCTGCTCTGATTGATGACCCACAGTCAGATATTCAGTGTCTTCCAGGCCTTAGTACTATGCCAGAGGTAGTGTGGGATACTTCCTAAGGAATGTATGTATTTTTTTTTTTTTTTGCTGGAAACAGCATGGTCTTGTTCTCAAATCCTAAAGATCTGGGCTGCAACTGTCTTTGGATGAGTGATTCTTCATGGTGTTTTGTCTTTAGGTTGGTAATTGGCTCAACTGAATCTATCATTTTCTCCGTTGAACGGATCAGTACTCATAGCAACAGCCAACCTGTTCTATAGTCTTTATGGTTATTATTCCATATCACTTGTATCAGTTATCTGTTGTTGTATAACAGACCACTCCAAAACTTAGTGACTTAAAATAGTAACTATTATTGCCTATGAGTTGATGGCGACTTGAGTGGTTCTGCTTATCTGGGCCAGAATTGGCTGATTTTAGCTGGGTACTCTCATTTTTCATGCATCCATGGTCAGTTGGTGGGTTGGCTAGTGGTTGGTTGGTCCAGAATGGCCTTACCCATATGACTGGCCATTGGCTGCCTATTGGTTGGGTAATGGGGGTGATTGGGCCCTGTGTCTTTTATCATCTACTGGATTGGCCTGGAGTTATTCACATAGCAGTGTCAGAATTCCAAGAGAGTGAATGTAAATTTGCAAGGTGCCTTTAGCCTTACAATCAGGACTTACACACTGTTATATCTGTTGCAGTCTTTTGGGGAAAGGAAATCACAAGGCCAGCCCCGTTAAGGGATAGGAAAATAGAACTAGACTGCATTTCTTTTTTTTTTTTTTTTTTAAAGATTTTATTTATTTATTTGACAGAGAGAGACACAGCGAGAGAGGGAACACAAGCAGGGGGAGTGGGAGAGGGAGAAGCAGGCTCCCCGCAGAGCAGGGAGCCCGATGCGGGACTCGATCCCAGGACCCTGGGATCATGACCTGAGCTGAAGGCAGTAGCTTAACCAACTGAGCCACCCAGGCGCCCCCTAGACTGCATTTCTTGATAGGGGACCTGGGAACAAGGAAAGGAATAATTTGGGACGTACTTTTAAATTTTAAAATTTAATATTAATATTTATTTTAATATTAACTTTAAAAATAAAATTCGCTTGTTTTAAATGTGCAATTCAGTAATTTTGGGTAAATTTATTGAGTTGTGCAACCATCACCATAATCGAGTTAGAACATTTCAATAACCCCAGTAAGATCCATTGTGTGATCTACCACATTTCTTGAATGCTAGCGATATTGCATGAGCCATAGTATCTTTTAGTTTATCCTATCCCAATTCACTACAGATGAAAAATCATAGTAATTGTAAACTATAAGGTCCCAAAGGTGTTATCACCAGCAGTGGGATATCTGTTGCTGTTGCCAAATAAGTGGTCCAATTCCAGAATCCTGTCCCTGAAATGGAGATGTGTGTGCAAATTATTTTATTAAGAAAGTACTCCCAGGGGATACCAGGAAGCGAGTAGGGAAAGCGAGTGAGTGCAGGAGATTAAACCTAAGTGTGATATCACACAAAAATTAAGCAGAGAGGTTAGGCTTCATCCTAATTCCAGAGAGAAAATCTGTTATATAAATTTCACCTTAAAAATGTTTTCACCTTAAAGTTGTTCTGATCCAAGGCAAGGGAGCTGGGCTTCTTGACCTTACCTGTGACTCTCTCAGAGTGCAGGCAAAGGATCTCTAGTAGCTTGAGGACAATCTGTGAAAAAGAACCCTAGATACTTGCTGTCAAAAACGTACCTAAGGGCGCCTGGGTGGCTCAGTTGGTTTAGCGACTGCCTTCGGCTCAGGTCATGATCCTGGAATCCCTGGATCGAGTCCCGCATCGGGCTCCCTGCTCGGCGAAGAGCCTGCTTCTCCCTCTGACCCTCCCCTCTCTCATGTACTTTCTCGCTCTCTCAAATAAATAAATAAATCTTTAAAAAAAAAAAAAACGTACCTAAGTTCATGTGGAAGAGAGGACACAAAAATGGGGTCAGAAGGAATCTGGGTAGAGTATCTGCATTATGTGCCACAGGCTTTATGCATGATGGGCCTCCTAAAATTAGCACTTTTAATCAAAGCATGAGCGTATCTCTGACTGGTCCCACTCCACTTATATAGGTTCAGGTATTTGGGAATAATAGAGGGGGAAATGCGACTTAAGAAATTTTAACTGTAGGGGCGCCTGGGTGGCTCAGTCGTTAGGCGTCTGCCTTCAGCTCAGGTCATGATCTCAGGGTCCTGGGATTAAGCCCCGCATCGGGCTCCCTGCTCCGCGGGAAGCCTGCTTCTCCCTCTCCCACTCCCCTCGCTTGTGTTCCCTCTCTCACTGTGTCTTTGTCAAATAAATAAATAAAATCTTTAAAAAAAAAATTTATATGTGAAATGTAAATATTCTGAAATAACTATTTAAAATTAAGAACTATGTCTTTATATACCTATATACATATATATGTTGAATTAAATTATTAACTGTAGGAACAACAAGGCTATGACAGATCCCTCCAGAAAGTATTTAACCAGCAGCAGAGAGAAGCAGCTGAGTTTGAAACAGTCAGAAGAGAATAGGACATCAGGTAAGTATTTGGTCTTCATATAAGATACTCATTTATTATATGATGTACTGTATTAGACTAGAAACAAAAACCTAAACTGGGACATATCTCTCTACATTTTTCAGGAATATTGTATGATTCAGTATTCGTTATTGGGTACCAAATTTGTATCCAGTACTTGGCTAAAGTATTAGAAATATAAGGGAATTTTTATTCTGTTAACAAAGAATCTAACCTTTACCTTCTTCCCTATTTAACTGCCTAAAATTAAACTTTTTCATTATCAAAGTATCTGGATCATAGAATGAATCCAAGGAGTTAAAGTGGTTGAAACTGAATTTTATGAGTGTTGTTACATGTTAGAAGTTCCAGAGGATCTTGGAATTAATTGCCTAAAGCAGTTGTTTAAGCTCACATTGTACCCTATTTTTACAAAAACTAAAAGTTAGACTGTCCACAAATTGATGTCAGTGTTTCCCACATTTAACATATCTCTCTGATCCTCTGAACTCCTTAGAGACTCATCTATCTGGTATTGATTTGGATATCATGTCAGCTGGAAGTTAAATTGAAGCAAGCTAAAATATGGCATGATTTTGAGAGTTTGAGAGAATTCATTTGATTGGGACTCTAGGAACATTCTTCTTTTAGTGGTTCAGGATTGTGACTTTAGACTCCTCCAGAAAGAATTAATATAATTCTTACCTCTGAAATAATAATACATTATGTAAACTCCACTTAAGGGTTTTCAGCTTTTATAATCAACCTATAGTTAGAAAACAGAATGCTTGAAGATGTAATAAGCTGTAACAATGTTGAAGTTAAAGTTATGTCTTAGAAAGTTGATGCGGGGGCGCCTGGGTGGCTCAGTCGATTAAGCGTCTGCCTTCGGCTCAGGTCATGATTCCGGTCTTCTGGGATCGAGCCCCACATCGGGCTCCCTGCTCAGCAAGGACCCTTCTTCTCCCTCTCCCTCTGCCTGCCTGTCTGCCTACTTGTGATCTCTCTCTCTCTGTGTCAAATAAATAAATAAAATCTTAAAAAAAAAAAGTTGATGCGGAAGAGGAGAGAGTAGGAAGTGGTCAAGTGATAAGGTTCATAAAATAAAATGTAGAAGTTTTAAGTGTGTTAAAGTTACGAAGTTGATTAGTAAAACTAACATTAACACAACCAATAACTGGTTGGAGAGAAGAGAGCAAGAATGGGGTGATGTAAATGAGCAATTTCTGATTTTTCATAATGGAGGTAACTGATACTGTTTATAATTAATAAATTAAGAAATAGTAGAAACATTATCTAGCATTATGAAGGAAATGAGGAAAACTAAGTTTTAAAAAATGGTTAGAAATAAGAAGCACAACTTGTAGAGTTTTGGGGCAGGAGAATATTCTTTGCTTTTACAACCTTTCCACAGTGTTTGATCTTTTAACATGCATATATATTACTTTGAAGAAAAGAAAGGGGGAAAAAGTTAAATATGAACAGACCTAATGCATAATTTTACTACTAAATGAAATTGAATGGTTGATTTAGGAATTAAATTTTTCCTGTTTGTTTTTTTTAGGGCTTTTACCTTTACAGTCATCATCCTTTTATGGCAGCAGAACTGGATCCAAGGACTACTCCTCTGGTAGCACTAACTTAGACAGGTATGTTTGGTTATGTACCTTGTGAAGGACTTGAAGTGCTCTCTTCTTGAGAATATTGAATTGAAGGGATAGGCTGTCCGTTATGCTCTAAGTGAATAATTTAAAATAACAAAATTGATCAGAATCATAGACTCGTGACATTTTAGTTAGATAGTAATCTGGAAATGTTTTAATTTTCAGATGCTTTTTTTTTACACTTTTCAGCAAATGTATAAACTGAGGTCTAGGGAGATTTGTACTGAGGCCACAGGTTGTGACTGGCAATGTGATCAGATTCTAGAGCAGTGTTATTTTCCATCATGCCAAGCGATGAACATACTAAGATCTCTCCTCAGGCATTTTTATTTTTATTAATTTTATTTATTTTTATTTTTAAAGATTTTATTTATTTAT